TCAGTTCCCCCGGAATACGACTTATCGGTCATAAACTCGACAAACATTGCACTCATATATGCGGCCAACGATTGGTTGAACGATATTCGAGACATTAATTTGCTTAAGAAAACACTCAAAGGTTTGTTGAAATAGTTTTACTTAAATTAAAAATTTTAATTATTTTTTAATGTTTTATTTGCAGTGAAACTAATGGACGACTATTTAGTACCGGACACCACGTTTAACCACATGGAGCTCATGTGGGCCCGGGATGTCGGCAAATACGTCAACACAAAAATACTGGAAATTTTGCACAAATGTGATTAAATATTTAAAATTATGAATGTACAATATATTTTATTAGAAAAATTATAAATGCAATTTAATGCTATCTTAAAATATAAAATTAATACAAAAGCGTGTTTATAATATGTATTTAAAAATCAACATTAAATGTTTAATAAATACGTTTACTATTAGATTAATGTAATAATTTTTCAGAAATTAAACGGCATAATTATAAAACCAAATATATGTTAACACAAAGTTATAATGTTTAATTATTTATTAAAATTCATCAAAAATCTGAAAGTTCAATAATAAAATCTAATCAAATTAATTTATAAAAATAGTCATAAAATATTATTTTAAAATTAGAGCCTTATTAAATTTAGCATGTCAGTTTTGACAAAGTTACATTTTTAAAATTACATATAAATTTTTACAAATAAATGAATTAATATACGAATGAATATAATTGGAATTACCATGATGTTTGCAAAATGCTATAATTATATATACTAGTCTAAATATTATTTTCTTATGACTCGGCTTCTAATAAATTTCCGATACAAATACCGACCCCCAACTATAGCCCCACCACCTACCACACCAGCCAAAGACCATCCCATAGTTAACGGTGCGAATGCAATGGCCAAACCTAACCCTGTATAACACCCCGCATCCACAAACATATCCCGCGATCTGGCGGAGTGATACTTAGTCTCCAATATATCTTTAGTGATCGTGTTCAATTTTGTTTCGCAATCTAATTCCCTGAATAATTGTTTAAACTCTTCTCGATGGGTTTTGTAAAGCCGTGGATAGATAGCCTCGTCGCACTTAATGTGCTCGAAGCTGTAAAAGAACAATGTCATGTACCATGGTCGTTTGTCTAATTCAATCGATAAACTGTGTTCGTATTGGTTTGTGAAATCAGTTAATTTGTCCACGAAGAGTCTCATAGTTTTATAATACTCGTCAATTACGGTAATAAAATTTTGGCGAATATTTACCATTGAGCTTTCCGTGTCGAATGTGACCTCTAATTTACCAAGTTCCGTTATCATAGCTTTCAAATATTCATTATACTTTCGAAGGTGAAATTCTTGAACTTCGTCCCTTAGTATGTTGATTGAATTTACTTGTTTAATGTTGCGATAAGTGTTTATCAGAATTAACATTTCGCTTTTATAATATTGAACATATTTGTGATGAATTTTTGCGCCATTAACAAACTGTTTTAGGGTTTTCTTGATTTTGTTAAAAAGATGATCTTGGAATTTTAATATATTCGATCTCTTACAAACACGTTTAATTATGCCGGATTGCTCATTTATCAAATTAGCACATTTATAATAATTTTGTTGTCAATTAAATCTTGCATATTAGATTTTATGCTAGTGGATATAATTTGAATCAACTTTGAAATATGTTTATCTGTCGCGTTTACTTCATTGGAAAATATTTCGCGAAACGATAATTCAAACATGCTCGAAACTTCACGATTGTAACTCGAAATTAATGAGATTATATTTTTTTGCGGGTTTCGTTAAAGTCAGCAAGGTGCTGCTTATCAAGGCAATTCCACATACTCTTCTCAATAGATTTAGTAAGCACATTTGAAAACAAATCATGTTGTTTTGAAAAATAATTTTGGCAACTCTCAAAT